ACGATGCTATGACTTCCATGATGAAGAGGAAGATAGGAGGTGCCTGCGGGTCTCCTTGCCGAACGGATCTTGAGATCGGGTACGTGTCTGATAATATTCTGTTGATCTGAACTCTTCCTGTGGCATCTCCGTAGAGAATTCTGATCCATTCTCTAAAATTGGGGCCTACTCCCATCCTCCTCATGCAGTCGTGGAGGAAGTCCCTGTTGACCTGGTCGTAGGCTTTTTCAAAATCAAAGAAAAGAATTGCAGCCTGCACGTGTTTTTTCTGTGATTTTCTTGGCTGCCTCGTCCAGGCACATCACTTTGTCCAGTATGTACCACCCTGGGATGAATCCTGCTTGATCAATGCGAAAACATTTGTCGGTGAGGTTTATGATCCTGTTGGTTAGTGCTTTCGCGAGGATCTTATATGGGGTTGAGAGTAGTGAAATAGGTCTGTAGTTTTTTAGGTCCTCTCTTTCCCCTTTCGTGTGGAGTAGTGAAACCACCCTTGTGCTTAGGAGTTGGCTAAGGCCTGAAAAAATTGAGAAGGTCACTTCCTAGTATCGGCCAGAAATGGACCCAGAATTCTTTTGAGAGGACGTCGATGCTTGGAGCTTTCTCGTTCCCCATCTGGGTTAGGGCTCCTCTGAGTTCGTCTATGGTGATTGGTTTGTCCATGCCTTCCGGTTGTTCCTGTGAGATTGTTCTGTCCAGGAGAGACATCATGTGTTGGCGGGCTGCAATGGTTGCTGTGGAGGGTGGGGAGGGTGTTTTGGATGCATAGAGGTTTGCATAGAAGGCCCTAGCTATTTTTACCATATCTGTACCAGCCGATTTGGCCCTGTCTTGGTCCCTTGGGTCTCTCAGTCTTTCAATCATATTGTTTCTTGCGATAGCTTTGATTTTGGAGAAGAAGAGGTTCGTCATTGATTCGTTGAGTGTGTAGTTGGCCATCCTGGCACGCAGTTGTAGGCCTCTTATCTTCAACCTTCTCCAGTCATTGAGTTTCTCTTTTGCAGATTTGAGTAAGTTGTAGTAGAAGTCGTTGGCGGAGTCTGTTGTGAGATTGGCCTCAGCGATTGTTATCACGATTTGTAGTTCCTCGTTTCTGATTCTGCGTCCGGCTGCTATATTTCTCGACTCGGAGGACACAGTTTGTGTCAGGTCCGCATAGCTGTCTATGAACCATTTATGTCTGTCTTTTTGCCTGGTCCAGTTCCATTGGACTGCATCTGTCATCCCGTGGAGAGGAGGGAGTTGTTCAGTCTGTAAAAATCCTGTCCCTTTTCCACCGGGGAATTGAAGTGTAGGAGCAGGTAGATTGGCTTGTGGTCCAGCCCCTTGAATGCTTCTGCGGGCAGGATTTTTGCCTCTTTGACTGTTCCTTGGAAGGATTCAGAGATCAGGAAGAAATTGATCCGAGATAGTGAAGTTTGGTTGGCCCGGTTTCTCTTGACCAAAGAGAAAGCTTTTGCAAGAGGGTGGAGGGTCCTGAAAGGGTCGATCGGTTCAAATTCCGTCATGATGTTCCGTATGTGGGTACCTGCTCGTGTAGGGCCCATCAGCAAAGCCCGAGAGATACGATCCAGATTGGGTTCCAGGGTTGTGTTCCAATCCCCTGCTATGACAACTGGTTGGGGATTTGGGATGGGCGGTTTAATGTTGTTGAAGAACTCCAGTCGTTCGTTTTCTGCATTCGGCGCGTATAAGTTCAGAATTCTCAATTCATCTTCTTGCCATCGGATGTCGATCCAGGACCATCTGCCATCTTCTGTGTCTCCTTCCCCGTTCAGAATCCGACCTTCTGTTAAGATTTTGGAGTGAGGTATTGAGGATTGCAGTACCTCGTTTGCTGAGTACGTCTTTGTTGGACCAGAGCGTAAAAGCACAACCTCTGATACATGCCCAGTTGGGCAGTGTATGTACAGCCAAGCATCCGCAATGTGATGAAAAGGACTGAATGGACAATGCAATGTTAGTGGAACATCAACAGGTAATGTACACCCTGATACATGCGAAATGGCACAAAATAGCGCAGTGGAAGACTTGGATATAAGTCCTGACCTGACCGGGACTGACACGACATCCCATCATACATCACACATTTGAGAGGAGGAGGAGGGACCACACACAACGAAGAAAGGTCCCTCCTTGTACATGCACATGGGGAGATACCACAGATGTGAGATGGGGGGAGAGGAGAGACGAAGATGGAGGCGAGGGAGAAGACCAAGATCGCAATAGCGATGTCCAAAAATAGTCCCTTGACGATGTCCAATCAATGTCTGTCTCAGAAATGTCGAAGCAGATCCTGGGCGCAATGCCCACTGTAACCCCTGCCTGTATCCTCTGCCTGCAGTCTCTCTCACTCTCGTATCTGAAGAAGAAGAAGATGAAGAAGGGGTAGGGAAGAGAGAGAGAGAGAGAGAGAGAGAGAGAGAGAGAGAGAGAGAGAGAGAGAGAGAGAGAGAGAGAGAGAGAGAGAGAGAG